TATATAAGCGAATAAAAATTATATATATATATATATATATATATATATATATATATATATATATATATATATATATATATATATATATATATATATATATATATATATATATATATATATATTCAGTGAATTAATTTAATAATTTCGCTATTATAAATATCTTTCTATTAAACCTAAATACTGAAATACAGAATATTCAGTTCGATCAACATTTAGTGTCTATTAAATATACGTAGGAGAAATGTCAATTAACTTCCGATAATAGATTAGTTTGCAGGGAGTGTATAAGATTACGTGCGTAATTGATAGGTCCACAATTGCTGCACCGCCATTGTAGCAGCGAAAGTAAGTTCTTTTCTTAAGTATGTTTTTCAAATATTTCCTTAAGTTATATTTTATTGATTATGAGAAGATTTTACTGCTTGTGTCAAGAGTAATTAATGAAATTACTTTTTGTTTTTCTTTTCTTTTTTTAAATATTGCTGATCTAGATTTATGAAAAAAGATGAAGATAACGCACAATGATCGATTTCAAAAAAAAAAAATAATCTAAAAACAATCAAATTCTGTGAACAGTGCTTAAAACATAGACCCCCGGAAATTCCAGAGGTGGGATCAGGTGCATAATAGGAGTAAGCATCTGAAATTATTGATTAGTGAATATATAGTAATATTGTATATTGTTGATTGTGCCGGTTATTATAAGCAGTTTTATATGTTTTAATCTTCGTATTCTGTATTAAACTTTTCCGTTTTTCTTTTCTTGATTTGCACCAAGGAGAGGAATTAAATCTTTCCTCAATGGTTTCCACTAAATTTTCCTACATTGCAGTTTTTGTGCTTCTATCATTCAGCTTGAAAGATTCATCGTCTCAAGGTAATATGCATTTTAGATTCTTTTTGAACATTCATTCGTATATTCAATGTGTTTGACATTAAAGAAATTTTTTCAGACTTTCTAAACAAATGCATTTTTTTTTTACAATTGGAGGTAGACAGTTTTACACAAAGGTTAAGGAAAATGCGTTGTTAAATAAAATGGCATTTAATGAGCTAACTTCCCTTTGAATTATAATGAATTTGATGTCCTAGAAAAAGCAACATAATGGAGCCTAAATGCTTTTAAGAAGGAAACTTCATAGAAAGAATACTTGTGCCAAGGCGCTTGAGGGGCAGTGAGGGAGGGGGGAATGAAGCCACTGAGCGCCTATATTTAGGAAAAAACGTCTCTCTAGATCTTCATATTAAATAGTTCAATCAGTTTATCGTTATTTTCCTTGGGTGTTCACGTGAGACTTTTGATAATTGAAGTAACCACTAATAATCATTGTATATAATATAATACAGCATTAAAAGATGACTAAATTAACATCCATAAATGATATTGCAGCATTTATAACCAGTAGCTACGTTAAGCCATTGAGAGATATTGGTTGGAAACACATCTTACTCAATTAAAACAAGTTATGAAATATCAATTCAAATTACAAAGTAATATTTTTTTCGAATATATTTTATAAGCAAGTTTTGCACCATTTATAATACAAAAAAATTAGTTTCTCAAATTAAGAAGAAATTTTCTGTCGAATTATTAAACATGTATCAAGAAAACAAAACATTTATAAATTTTGAACAAAAAATTAATTTAAATAAGATTCAATTTTTTTAGTATATGTTTACATTTATTACTTCTGTTATATTAAATCTTGTATTTAAGGACAGATGATAGGTTCCTCAATAATATATAATTTTTTCTATGATTTTGTCTTTGAAGTATTGCTACTTTAACATGTTTACTCACAAAAAATTGAGGTACCTTACCAGGCATTTGTGTAAGATATCAGAGGATGATGTTTCCTATAAAATCCTTTTGGAAAAAACTTAATTAGCCAATAACACATTTTTAAGTGTTTCAATTTTTTAAAGACAATTAGAAACCAGTTAAAAAATCAGAAGGTAATTAAAATTTTGAATATTTTCCACACAATACGAAGATATACGAAACAGATATTTCAGGAACGTATCGCCTGACCTTAATGTTATTTTACTACTGCAATACCTGTAAAGACTATGGTTAATTCGCTGATTTTACTACTTCGTATATATGTAAATCTTACGCAATATTTCAAAATCAAGTCTCACTCTCTAAAATAGATGAACAATGTGATAAACATAATTTTTTTTTCAAATTCAAAATTCTGTCAAAGGTAGCAAAAGAATGTGATGATGCTAAAATTGCTCATTTTCACTTGACTATTCTTGATAATGAAATCATTTTTCCGAAATATTTTACAGCGATCTATTTCTCGGATTTGTATTTGGAAGGTGACAGGAGTTTATCCCAAATATGGCTGATATTAAGTCGAGTGACCAAAAGGTACAGTAGTCAGTATTTTAACAATTAATTTATTTTTCAGTATTGTATCCATTATAAAGAATTGGCCTCGAGTTTGAAACGTCCACATTTTGGTACTAGTATTTGGAATTCTTTTTTTTCTAATTAAATCATGTCAAAACGCTTTTGTAATACTAAAATGTACAAACAAAATATGAAATCAAATTTATATGAGGATCATTTCGTAATTTATGTTCCAATTTCCATTTCCAGACATTCGATTCCGCTGTTTGTCAAACTTGTACAAGAACATGATGTGGGTGATGAAGATTTGGTCTTTGATGAGGATGATGAAATTTAATGAGATATTTATATTACAAACACTTGCTACGATGCAGGGTGTTTAATTACAATGATCATATAATTTGTTTTTATCTCGTTTAAGACTTTTTTGGCTTACTATTTCAAATAATTTCAAAATAAGAATTAAATATTTACACTTTGTTCAATAAATTGCCTACGATTAAGTGTTGTTAAATTAAAACAACAATTTATTTACAAATCATTGCTTTATCGTAATAGTAACAAATTTAATCCTGGGTATTTTCCCTCATCAAACTAATATAATATATAATTATAATATCAAACTAATATTTAAAATAAATATAAAATAAACCCTATATATATCAAGTGCTACGTCTTATCACTGATAAGCCCAGAACTTTTAAGCAACTTAATATCATCAAAAAAGAAAGAAAACCTCACAAATTCATGAACATATCGTGTTGTGTGCTTTGATCTGGGCACCTTCCATTTAGAAATACAAGAACCGATATCAACTTGTATATATTACAACTGTCTTTACCATAAACGGACCTGGGCACAGATTTGAAGTTATAGTATACTTACTTATACGTTGCTAGAGCATTTCACACAAAAATATTATAAAAGTGTGTTTAGAAATTTCTTTTACTGGAAATTATTTAAACTACGAATTTCGGTACGTGTTTGATTGACACAGCTCCTTACATTTAATAATAAATTTTATCCTTAATATTTAAGAATAGTGGAAAAACTAATGAAAACTATTAGAATTATAATTCAGAAATCTGAGTAGAGAGATGAGAAAGCAAAACCAACTCACCAGTATTATCAGTCCGTGCTCAGTGATGTGTGCAGAGTAATCAAATTGAACACATTTCGTATAATGTAAATATTAACAATAATATAGATCGTGCCCATGTTTACAAACACAGTTGTTTGACACCAGCTTACACCCATACCTCCCTTTCTAAGGAGGAAATTCTTCAAAGTCATATGTCCATTTTAGATATTTTTAATATTCCCAACAATCAAAATGAATTTGAATTACAATACCTTTACTGGATTCTGAACCTTTATAAAAATCCTTACAAACAAAGATACATAGCAGGTTCCAGTAAATGTTCTACCAAGCCTCTTTCTTTACTCCTCACTAAAATATTTACTGTAATGAAGGAGAAACTTCAGGAGTACTGTACAACAGTATATTCGAGAAGTGGTGTAAATCAGATGTGGATACTTAAAAACTCCGAAGAACTTTTGGAAAATGTGAAATCACAAAAGTTTGCTAAAATCAATAATATCAAAACGCACGACTTTCAACACTTTATACAACCATTCCCCACGATAAATTGAAGTCCAGGCTTTTTGACGTCATTGACAGCCGCTTTTTCAATAAAAATGGAACTCGTAAATCTACTTACTTTGTCACATTTACAAAATTATTTTGTTAAAAAGCACTCTGATTGTACTCACAAGTACTCTGAAGTTGATATTAAAGAGATGCTTGAGTTTCTGATTGACAACATCTATGCAGTTTTTAGAGAGCAGGTCTTCCAACAATCTGTTGGAATTCCCATGGGTAGCAATTGCATCCCCTAATTAGCAGACCTGTTTTTGTATCAATATGAAGCAGAATTTATTCAAAAAATTTATTCAAGAAAATACTTGCACTGGTGTGGCCTTCAACTCGACATTTCGATATATCGACGACGTATTATCAATTAACAATAGTTACTTTCATTCATATGTTGACTCGATATATCCCAGTGAGCTTGAAATAAAAGATACCACAGATTCTGACACATCTGTTTCATATTTAGATATTTTACTAGAAAAAGACGTTAATGGTAACCTAACAACAAAACTTTCTGATAACTTTTCAATCGTCAAATTTCCTTACTTATGCAACAATATACCCTTATCACCTGCATATGGGGCTTATGTCTCTCAGTTGATTTGATACACAAGAGTATGCTCTACGTATGAACAATTTCTAAAACGAGGCAAGCTATTGACACACAAGTAGATGAAACAAGGATATCAACATGCTGACCTTGTCAGCACATACAGCCTATCATTGAGTCAAATGCTGACTGACGTTTTTCATACTAATTGGTAGGCCATTATTTATACACTGAACTTTCTACAGATTTTTCCGGTTTTTTTTTCCAATCCTGACAAGGAGAACAAGGCGGATGTGATCCCACCTCTACATTTTGAGGTCCGTGTTTGCTCTGCTCTAAATTTGTATCGTTTCACTCGACTTTCGAGATGGAATACTGTTCGTTATCTTCATATTTCATTTTAAAAAATGCTAAAGAAAGAAAACATGCTTTAGACAGAATTTTCTGCATTTTATTGCATCAATAATGTTTATAAATATGAGTATCACATTCTGCATCCAAGGCTGAACGGCTCTCCAACTCTTCCGGAATGTAAATAAACCTGAAGTTAAGAATTCTTCAATTAATTTTTTCGCTCTGTACAAAACTCTCAAGGATCCCCATTCTACTCATTCATATTTTCCTTAACGCTTATGATTTTCAAAAGAAATCTAATTTATAATTAAAATGCTCACAATTTTAACCAACCTTGCGACAAAAAATTTGACAGCAATGGCCTGATAACTAGATTTTTTGTTTAAGGAATAATTGTCATTTATCCCCTTTAGAGATAATAATCTCGCTTATAAGAGTATCAGTGAACTTTAAAAAACATAAAAATACATGTAGTTCTTTAACGTTAAAATAAGAGGCCTATGGGCCACAACCCTCATCTGAGTCAAACATGGCTCTTTTGTTCTTCATCAGCAGATTTTTTCTATTATATATTCCTATGTAAAACTTTGATCACCCATTGTGGCTCCAACGTATCACCTGGGTCATGATTTGACCAAATTTGAATCTACACTATCTGAGGATGCTTCCATATCAATATGACTAATCATGGTTTCGCTGTACTTAAGAAGAGATGTTTTTCATATATATTCCTATGTAAAACTTTGGTCGCACATTGTAGCCCTATTCTACTCAGAGGGGTTATATTTGAACTTGAATCTACATTATCTCAGGATGCTGTAGTTGAGAAGATTTTTAAAGATTTTTTCCTATCTATTCCTATTTAAAACTTTGATCCCCCATTGTGGTCCCACCGTATCCCTGGGGTCATGATTTAGAAAAATATAAGTCTACACGACCTGAGGATGCTTCCATATCATTATGACCAATCATGGCTTTGCTGTTTTTGAGAAGAAAATTTCATAATTATATATATTCATACGTAAAAGTTCGACCCTCCACTGTGGCTTCACCCAATCCACGGGGTCATGGTCTGAACAAAAGTGAATCTACAGTACCCGAGGATGCTCCCCTATCAATATGCCCAATCATGGCTTTGCACTTCTTGAGAAAAAGACTTTTAAAGATTGTTTTGTCCTTTATGTATCTATGTAAAACTTTGATCCCACATTGTGATCCCAACCTACCCCCAATTGTCATGATTTGAATGAACTTGAATCTACACTACCTGAGGATTCTTTCATATCAATATGACTTATCATGGCATTGCTGTTCTTGAGAAGAAGATTTTTGCTATATATTCATATGTAAAACTTTGATCCTCCATTGTGGCCCCACTCAACCCTCAGGGGTAATGATTTAAACAAATTTGAATATGAAGTTGTTCTTGAGAAGAAAATTTTTCAAAAATACCACAAAATTTTCACTAATCCTTAATTGTCTCTCCTTAAAGGAGGGCGTGGCCCTACATTTGAACAAACTTGAATCCTCTTTACCCAAGGATGCTTTGTGGCAAGTTTAGGTGATATTGGCCCAGTGGTTCTTCAGAAGAAGTCAAAAATGTGAAAAGTCACAGACGGATGGGCGGACAGATGGACGAAAAAATGTGATTAGAAAAGCTTATTGAGCTGTCAGCTCAAATGAGCTAAAAAAGATTAAAAGAAAAAATATAAAATGCATCTATCTACTGGCTGTGAGTGGAATAGCTCTTTTATCAAACCGGCCGAGTGGAATACTTCCTTACAAGGGTTTATTGAAAGGACTATCCCACTCAAATCCAATGGATAAGAGTTTTATTATACTGATGTATATTATGAATTCTGAGTGTTGGATAGAACAATTTATACCCCGGGTATAGCTTCGAGGAACTCTTCAGTGTTGGAGGAGGATCTCTTCAGTGTTGGAGAAATCAAAGGAAATCAAAATTTGCGTCAAAAAATGAACGAAAATTTTCGAAGGGATGGATAGTACAACTTGTACCCCGGGTATAGCTTTGCTGTAGAAGAATTTTTTCAGACTCTAAAAAATTATCTTCTTAACTTTATATATGAAACATTTTAACAGAATTATAGTAAATTTAACTATCGCCAGGTTAAGATCTATTTTGCTTAAACAGATTAGAGTAGATTTCACTTACCAGGTAACAATTCATATCATGCAGATTAAATTTCACTTACCTGACAACAATTCATATCAGGTAGATTGAATTTTACTTACCTGGTAACAATTCACACCAGGTAGGTATATTAAATTTCGCACTTACCAGGTAACAATCCATATAAGGTAGCTTAAATTTCACTTACCAGATAACAATTACAGGTGCTACCTCCCGCTGAAATTGAAATTGATAACATATCATACATTACACTAACCTTTTTTTGGAGTGGGTGGGTGGATATTCATGTAAAGTTAGATGACAAAACTATTTCATGTTGGATTTCGTTATAAAAAAGATAAGTGGAATATTTAATAAAAACGTTTTACTTATAATAAAGAATCATAAATCACAAAAGAAGCTGTCTATTGTAAAAGAAATAAACAAGAGAAAGAGTTAACCGAATACATACTATTGAGATATATTTAGACCGTATCCAAGTTTATCGCTGTGTCTAGAAGCCATATAGTCCATTAGTAACAAATCCGCCATAATATTTCTAGGCTTTCGGCTGAAATGTAAAAATAAACCTCTGTCCAATCCGGAGTCTTAATTTTATGTCCTTCTGTCTGTTAATACAATTTAAATTTTTATGACATTGTTGAGGATCAAATTTTATTAACAGATATAAGAAGAATATAACGAATAACAAGAAGGATACTAGATATGATATTTTACACATATATACATTTTTGGGAAAGCATTTTCACAAGAAAAGTATTTTTTATGACATTGTGACCTTAATCTTAACTTTGATCTCATAGATCCTGAATATGTACACTATGTAGTTAATCATTTATGTTTAGCGGCTTTTTTATTCAATATTTCGCGGATACTTCTTGCTTAGAGAAACTTATGAAACTTGAAATTTCCTATATATGTCTCTTGGATCTTTTGATTTAATGATTCAGTTTATCCCACATTGGGTCATTTCTGTTTATTAACATTTGCATTAGGTTTGAAAATAGAAAAAAAACATAGGTTATACAAAATTGCATTTTTTCTATTAATATTGATTACCTTCTGATCAAATTGGTTTCCTGGCTCATTGCAGCAATTTCCAAAAGGAAACTTGATAAGAACACAAAAAGGGCCAGAGTTAATGCGATATTTTTACACTGGAACATAGTGCTTGCCTGAAAAATAAGTAATATTTCGGTAATGAAATTTGAAGAGTTTGAAATGCAATCAAGCTCAGAATCCAAAAACAGGAGGCCCACAACGCTCACCTGATTCACAGGTCCTGCTGTTCTACGGCAGCAGATTTTTCCCAATATACTCCATTAAAAAACCCTCACTTCCCCGGGGGTCACGATTTGAACAAACTTGAATCTACACTATCTTTGGGTGTTTCCTTATAAATATGTAGAAAATGGTTTTGCTGTTCTAAAGAAGAAGACGTTTTTCCATATATTCCTAGATCGCCGAATGTTGCCTCGATCTGGGCTTTGAATCTAAACTACCTGAGGTTACTTCCAAATAAATATAATTAATCATGGTATTCCTGTTCCTCAGAATTTTTTTTCTCCCTATATATCCCTATTTTAAACTTTGATCGCCTAATGTGGCCTCACCCTAGCCCCGGACGGGGGAGGGGGTCATAATTTGGACTTGAAAATAAACTGAGGATGCATCCTTATAAATATGATTAATTATGGTGTTGCTGTTCTTGAGAAGAAGATTTTTCAGGATTGTTTCCTGTACATTCCTATGTAAAACTTTTCTCGCCCATTGTGGCCCCGCATTAGCCTCGGAGGTCATTTAAATGAAATCTTTTCCTTGAAAAAGGGCGTGGCACTTCATGGAAACAAACTTTAATCTTCTTCACCCAAAGATGTGGCAAGTTTGGTTGAAAAAATGGCCAAGTGGTTCTGGAGAGGAAGTCAAAGGTTCCTAAACAACCCCCTTTTTATTTTCAATATTGCATTTACTGATCCAAATTCTTAGAAAATACCAGACTGCTCTAGAGGGCATAACTGACCAATCCAGTTTCTGCTGAATATGGCTTTAAATCGTCCATAAACGTCATGTCATGTACAACAATGACCATACATTTTAAATTGCATCAGTTTAGCTAAACTAAGAACATAATACAGTAAGGAAAATGATCAAGGTATTAAAAAAGTTACTGTGAAAGAGCCATTTTCTTAAATGGCCCCTCAAATCCCTCATTCAATTTTCGTTTTTTTTTTTTGTTTTTTTTTTTTCAAAATCTTTTTTTTTTTTTTGGCTGAAAATAGATTGGAAATAGACGTCCTCGGTAGTCTGAATTATACCGTCCCTCTCCCAAATATTGGAAAGAAAATGAAGTGCTTGGATACTTTTTTTTAAAATGGTCAGTAACCTTCCTTTTCAAATGTTTATAACTCGATCTCTCAGGTACGTAAGTGATGCAGTGATAAAAGTGTTATATTTTTTTCTTTTGATTGATTTGAGGACAAAATCAATTAGCCTATCATTTTTATTTATTAAATTTTTTGACTCGAAAAAAAAAAAAAAAATTGTAATTTCTTTCGTTTTTTTTTGCATCTTCATTATGTTTGTTTTAACAATGCTCAAACAATGATTAAACTTAGTAGCTATACCTTTTATATTGAATTAGAAAAAAAATGTTCTTAAATGGCGTATTTATGATCACAGGTATTAAGATGATTATCAAGTATTATTAAATGAGTATGAAGATTAAGATGAAGGGTAGATGTGCTTAGATTGCTGTCATGGGAATAAAATAATTATCAAGTTCTTTATACTGGTACTCAACTTTCCTTTTCGCCACTGAAGTCCATCTTCTATTTGATGATTTGATTAAATTATCTTGATACTTAAGAATGATATCTTAATTAATAATAAGCAAAGAAAAAAAATAAAGAAAATAGGCAACATACTTACGTTACTCCTTCTGAATCCGATCTGAAAAATGTTGAGAACAAAATCATATTTATACAATACAGTAAAGCCTTATATGTTTGGAAGCAACAGGGGTACTTCCGCAGTAGATGTGTAATAATATGTCTCATTGCTCATTTGTCTGGGAAATAAGTAATTTTGACATGCCACTGGTCAAAGCAATCGTAAATTACACTGGATATTTCGTTATATTATTACATTTTTTGTCCACGAAATTGCAAAAAATATGAATGAGTATCTTTCGATATTAAATTTAGTACATATGATACTACTACCTCAGGGTTGTTTCATTTTAGATTGCTCCACTCCCCCACGCTCTACCTCTTATGAAACAAATACTCAAACCCTTTACAGGAAATTGTTGTTTTCGTAAATAATTATTTACAACAATAAATTTTCCTTTATCAAATGCCAAACGGGTAGGGACTGAACACTTCGTGTGCAATATTGTAGATAGTTGTTCAGAAATATTCTCTTGCAAAAAACTTATGATCCTCAAAGAATAAATCACATTTAAGTTCACTGAAGTAAAAAAAGTCAAGACACTACTTTGCCAAATTAAATATATTTGCAACATCCTAGGTTCTGATTTCATATCAACAAATGGGATAATATTTTAAAAGTAAATTTGTTCCAATTATGTGGAAGTTCAGTATACGTGCAATATCTTTCTTGTAGATTTAAATAATAAGTAAGAATACATGACCAGTTATAAGTACTGAAAAATAAGCATGACGGTTAAAGAATGTATGAATTAACTGATATCAAAAACTTAAGTTTCTAAACACGATGTATGAACGCTTCTAAAAATTCAATATGAAAACAAGATAATAAAAACAAACCTGGAGATAGTTAGCGACAGTTATATTGAATGTCAATTAAAAACATCAAATTTACAATTTTACAAATGATTCTTCATATATAATGCACACATTTTGAGATAAATCAACCAAGTAGGTGTAAGTACAATGTCCAATGATTTCAACTAAAAAATCAAGCTTATCTTCTAGAATATTTTTTTTTCATGTTCTGTCTGTGTGTGTGTTTCTCATCATAATGATTTATGTAAACATATTTGCTTTATTCATTACCCCAATTTAAAACGCTTCCCCATGACAAAAATAAATAAAATAGGCCAGGTGCAAATACACTGTTGATATTTTCCCCCAGAAAATAATGACAAGTTGCTGTAATACATGGACAACAGGCATGTGTTTCTGACAAAAAAATCTGTTATATATGTGACGTAAATAAAATTCTTTTATCTTGAATCTTGTAATTTTTCAATATAATTTAACGTAATGAAAAAGGTGAAAATAACGAAGTGATCGATCAAAAAAAAAAATCTATAAAACAATTCAATTCTGTAAAAAGTGCATTAAATACGGACCCTTGGAAATTCCAGAGATAGGATCAGGTGCCTAGGAGGAGTAAGCATTCTCTGTTGACCGGTCACACCCGCCGTGAGCCCTATGTATTGATCTGGTAGACGGAACATTATGTAGTCAAATTCAGTATAAAAACAAAGGCCTGACAATTGGTGTGAAAAAAGTCAGTCAAAATACGACCCATTCAGATATATCTGAATGTCGAGTTGAAGGCCACAAAAAGTGTTTTCTTCTTTTGTAGAAGTTTTTAAATAAATTCTGATTCATAGGAATATAAAAACAGGTCGTTTAATAAAGAAGCACAATTAGTGCCCTTCGGAATTCCAACAGTTAGTTGGAAGACCTGGTCTCCGAAGACTACATAAATGTTGTCAAAGAGGAATGCCAGCACCCACTATTGTGAGGAATGGTTGTATAAAGTGTAGAAAACTCGTACGTTCTGATGTTACTGACTTTTGAAAAATATAATTACTGAAACTGTAATATATAAAACTGGTTATCAATTAAACTTGATCAAGGCATCTGATACAGCAGCGTTGTTCTCCTTGCCTTTACAGGGAAAATATTTCTTTTCCGCCGAAGACAGCAAATGATACCAGGCTCATAGGAACGGGGAGGGAATGATGATTTTGCCAGTTAAGACTTACTTTATAAAAAGAAAGCCAATCTACAGTACTAGTTGTGTCCCCTCAATAGTTTTGCCAGTAAAAACTAAAGAATTGAAATGTAAGCTAATTTAACAGTCGTACCCCTTCATGAGACGTTAAATGACCTTTCTTTTTTGCTTATCAAGAATTTCAGTTATCCCCCTACTGAAATGCCTCCTACGAGTCGTGTTGCACAAAGCTGATACCGGAAGTCTTATCTTTTAAAGCCTGATCTTCGAATTGAATTAAAGCTGTGAAGCCAGATGAAATTTTCCTTGTTTGAAATGCTTGCACCAAAGAAGCCAGGATCTTAATTTGTAAATATTATTTTACCATCTATATACATAACAATAGAATGATACTTTTTATTTACAATTAAGAGTCGAGTAAATGAGCGAAGACGTTGATTTTGGATTCCCAAAAAACAAATAAATACAATGTACAGAATATTAGTGTTTTCAATGTTGGGCAAGTTCTTCTTCGAGGAGTGCGAATTTTCCTAAGGGCAAATTGTCCTAGAAGCGAACTGTATCGCATTCTGGGGCATGTGCATTCTTTTTTCTCCATAGCATCCGGTTTAACCTCACTTATATATATTTTCAGCGTGGACCTCAAGGTCCTCGCTAAGAGAAAAACAATATTAATAATTTTTTAATCAATTAATATTTATTTCACATCACAGATTCTTTCTTCATGCAATATTTAGACAATTACAGAAAAGTGTGAATTTCAATCAATGTCTAGTTGATATATTTCACACATCTTCTTTTTATTAACATTTTTAATAATGAATTGCAGCAAAAATATGTGTAAACACCTGTAATGACTAACTTAAGTTAAAATTTTTTTACCCCCTTAACAGGTGTAGGAAAGAGAACGTATTTTCACATATATCTTTATTTCCGGTGCACAATATACTGGGAACTTTTTTATTGACAGGTTGAAAGTTTGACAATTTGAATAACGAACTTTGACACTTGAAACTTTTAAAAGTCAACAAGTATTTTTTTTTTAATCTGATTGGAAATTTGACGAATACAAACACTGATAATTATTAGTCTTACGTTAATTTCTTTTGTTTCCAGGTGGTCAACTTTTCCACTTTACGGTATTTCAAAAAGAATTTTTCAAATTCAATGAAGCTGTTCCCTTTAAAAGGGCGTCCTGGTGATCGAAATATAGTAGATG